GCTCGGCCGAACGAACGGGATTGTGTCAAAGGCTAGCTTCCAGAAGTCTGCTATGGCGCCCGTGCAGACAAGAGAGGTGAGGCACTCGATGCCCTCCAGAAGGTCGTTTTTGCCCGACACGGCGCTGACAACTGGTTTAGTCCAGTGTCCCAAGACATCACTCGCAATGAACACCTGGTATGTCTGTCCTGGGAGTGGCAAGCAGAACAGATGTCCCGTGCAGTCACTTTCTATCGGTATAACAGCGACCTGGTCGCAGCGATCTCTCCCAAGTCTCTGTTGCAGTGCCTGACGCAAGCTATTTGGTGTCCAATCAGGCGACAACAGAAATTTAAGAAGACCGAAGTCAGGTCCCACAACGAACACATGTGCTCTCGAGATCGGCCACGCAACTCCCGCGGGACGCGGAGAAGTCGCCGAGAACAGGCCAGCTTCAACCGGAGCGTGCCTACCATCCCAGACGGCACGCAAAACTTCACCATGTCGGACTGACGCCGCGTACCCTCTGTCCAGGCGAAAGGCTCGACCCGGGTATCTATCAGCCAAATGCGCCATAACCCCTGAAGCAAGCCTGTGCCTCTCGACATCAACGCAGGTGACATCCTCCCCAGTATCAACAAGAATGGTAACTGCATCAGGTGACTTAGAGGGGGCGACAAACTGGATACACGGCCATTCGAACTGCGGGAAAGCGACTACCGGCATTTTGCGTTCGCCGGCAGTGTCAAGCGATCGAAGCTGGTGCCGAAGGGTACTGCCAAGCTCACTTGGCGGGAGGTAAAACGTTTGGAAGCCTGCAGGTCTCCAGACTTGGAGGCAGAGCAGAAGCTGCTCCTCTTTGCCCAAACAGCTGGCCAAGGGAGGAAGCAGGTCGGTTCCTTGAGTAACTAAAATTTGAGCAAGCTGGTGATGGGCGTGCGCAGACGCACCCCCAGGAGGTGTCTCAACGGCTCTGCCGAGCCCAGCGGTGGTCGGCAGGTCAGAGGAAGGTGACCCGTGCGCAAGCCCAAGCAGAAATAGACCGCCTAAAACCAGACCCCAACGGCAGGGCAACCGGATCATAGCAGTAACAGCAAAACACTTCCCCAGCTGATAGGGACCAGCAGTAAACGTGCCAGATTCCTGTTCCTCATCAATGTCGGCGCCTGAGCTGACACCAGTCTCTGCATGAGAATGAGGGGCCTCACTGAGAGGACCCTGGATCTGCTCAGAGACAACCCCAGCAAGAGCCCTAAAGGTGACAGGGCGACTTGCTCTTTGCGCGGTTACCCCCGAGGGAGTCCAGGACACAATGAGTGGCCTGGCGAGTTCGACACCAGAGCTAACGGGGGCTGCACATTGAACCGTCTGCACTGCACCTTTTGCTAGGAGACTACAAAATGAGTGCCCCGTATAGCTGGTATGCATGCCCCGTAGGGGAGCCTCGCAGTCGAGATTGGCGAGAATGTCATCCCACGGGGAGCCGCTATCGGCCGCTCGTACAATGATCTGACCCCCGATGAGCCTAAGATCAACAACCCATAAGTCTTGCCCAGACCTAGCAGCGATAGCAGCATACTGCATGCGAGGCAACCCAGGAAGAGGGGAACAAAGGGCGCGGACCTCTACATGTGCAGCCTCGTGATGGTCCCGCAGTACCGCAGCCATTATACTCGTAGCAAGGCGGTCGCGCTCCTGTCCTGCAATAGGAAGAAACCGAAGACCATTATCACCGATTACTACGACTTGGTCTTGATCTTGGGCGCGGCTAGGATCAGTGAACTGTTGTGGATACCCGTGGATGGAAGCGTGAACCACAGCTTGCAGGGCATCGAAGGCACCAGGGTTCAGTAGGACACATTGCAATGCGTCAACCTCATCGTGCAGAAGTGGCTGTGAAGCAGGCATCAGGAGACCGGCCGGCGCTCGAGCAAGGGAGGGCCCGGCTATCTGCAGGCCTTGCAGAGAGGCTGCTCGATGCAGCAGAGCCTCTGCGGAGCTGGTCCGATCGGCATCAAGAAGGGTAATCCGGCCCCCAACAGCCCTCAGATCAACCGGAACAGTAACCACATGCCAAGGGTGAGCAGTGGTTTGAAGGACAAACTGAGTAACGGGCAGAGAGGGCAGAGTAGCGCGGATGCGATGGCTGAGCCATGCGTTCGCTGGAACACCGAGGGCTCTGCAGATCCACCGGTGGAGTAGGGGACCCTGGACCCTGACATCCGCCTGCAGGACTACAGGTTGCTCTTGGAGGCCGTAATGGAAAACGCACACGTCTCGTAGCGGATGGGGAATGGCTTGCTGTGGCAGGGTGGAAACAGCTCCTGCTTCTCGCACAAGATGGGAAGCAGAGCAACCACAGGAGAAAACCGGCCTTTACCCGCGTAGCTGGCGGAGACACAGGCGAAAAAGGCGCCAGCCTAGAACGTCTAGGTCGAGGACTGCCAGGCCTGACCGAGGAACCTCGGTAACAGCACACCGGTACCCAGCTCAATAGGGTTCTCGAGACCCTGTCAGAAACGTATACGAGCCAGGCTACAATGTACGCCGGTAGAAGAAGTGTATTCCCGTCGTGTCCCCTTAGTCGGCATCTTCCGTCTCGCTGGGCTCCTGAGGGAAGTAAGGGCATGGGTTCAGCAACATGCCCTGGACTTCCGGGGCACTGGAGGCCGAGGTAGCAAGAAACCCCCTGAAAGGCCCCCCCGTTCCACAAGCAGAGCAGGGTGAAGCCACTCCTGCGCAGCTGCTGAACACAGAGTCTGGTTCCTCCCGTATCGAGGTCCTCGTCTGGTAGGGGTAGGGCTGCGTCCTGATCTGCGTCCCGGACCACCTCTCCGACAACCTCGCTGCCGTTGTTGACCGCAAAGGAAGCTCACTGCAGCCAACAGCCAAACCACGTTGACATTGCTGAAACTGCGGCTTCCGCTGGAATCAGCTCGGCAGAGTCGTCTCTGGGAATCGCGGTCGTGCTCTGTCTCCGGACTGCTTCCGGTGTCCTTCCCGTAGTCTCGGACACCCACGGCGCGTTGGCCATACTCGTGTCTCGGCGGGGGCTTTTCGAGGGGCGGGTGGCAGCTCCTCCACTCCGGCGTTTCCATCGCCCTGCAGTTGAGGTGCCTTCGTTGCCCTGAGCAGAGTGGTCCGGCTGGGTTGATAAAGCCGAGCCGGCACCTTCGCTGAAACTGACCTCGGACTGCTGGTCTGTTGGCCTGACTGAATGAGCCGCCATCGGCATTCCAGCTGCTAGCATGTTGAGGGCTGTGTGCCCGGGAGGCGAGACTGCTCCGAAGGCACGTAGCATGGCTGCCAGCCTCACTACCTCTTGCTCCTGCTGCGGGATCCAAACAGGTCCCATCCTCTGCTGGGCCAGGCTGACTTGCTCCGAAGTTGTCGAAGAAGGCTGGTCCCGTAAATATCCTTGGATCTCCTGGATCGCGCAAGACATGTCCTCGTCCAGCTTGCTCCCAATAGCTTGCATGCGGCCCACCAGACCAAGCAGGTGTTGAGCAAGTTGGGAACCAGGCTGCCAGTGCAGTGTTCAAATCCTCTTTCGCTCGCATATTGCCAGCAATACGTTTTGAAAGCTTGGACATAGTATTGGTCCTCCTCTGTAAAAGCTGTTCCGCTGATAGGTCCGTAGCCGTGAAAGCGGTCGAGGCCCACAAATCCTGAGTTGCACGCGTAGATATCGATTGTAGAGCCACAACAAGCGAGGCCGGCAACCCAAACTCTAATTGGGACTGTGCGGGCTCGCCTTTTTGACGACCCTTGCCGCCACCGCTCTTGTTGGACGCAGTCTGCTTTGGGGCCATAGGAACTTTGCTCCCGTGATGGGACGATAATAGGGCTTGGTCTGCTGGTGTGCCGCGCCCCCGTCGGCAACGCGTTCGAGCCGCCTGCCGAGCCCTGCGCCGGCGCCTGTGCCAACTCGGGCTCGCTACTCTCTTGGCGTTCACAGTGGCCTTGAAATGGCCCGCACTCGGGGTTACCCACGTATAGAAGAAAACAACCCAACAGAAAGAGTGGTATCAGGATAAGGTAGGGTGCAGAGCTTCTCATGCACCAAATATAAAAGATCCAGTCTCCCAGTGTCGTCGGCCGAGGCAGCGACGACCCAAAAGCCAGGAATAACAGGGAGGGAGCGCCCCTCCAGTTGCAAGGCCCAGTGAAAGGCAGCTTGCCAGTAAGGCACCTCCTGTGCCAGGGCAGTGGCCACAGGCCAGCCGCCAGCGCAATCGCAATTGCTGGGGTCAGGAATACCCTTCCGCACCCTACACTCCTAACTGGAGAAAAAGGGGCAAGAATGGGCTCGAGCCGTGACGCCTCTAAACCCTAAGCCCTAAATCCTAAAAATCCCCAAAGCTCCCATGCCCGAGGCCCGGAGCATTCCTAACCCCCGACATCCCAAAGCTCCCAAGCCCTGAGGCTTTGGGGTTTAGGGATAAGGGTTTCAGGTCTAGGGTTTAGGGTTTAGGGATTAGGGTTTAGGGATAAGGGTTTCAGGTCTAGGGTTTAGGGTTTAGGGATTAGGGTTTAGGGATTAGGGTTTGGGATTATACGGTTTAGGGTTTAGGGATTAGGGCTTGGCGCCTGAGGGCTTTTGGCACTAAGGGCTCTGGCCTGCTTGCAGACTGTACGATTTAGGGCTTAGGGTGTAGGGTTTAGGGTTTAGGGTTTAGGGAT